TTGTAACTTGGAGAAGGTATTTCCTCCATCGTTCTTTGATGTTATGGAACATCTTCCCGTGCAACTCCCAGATGAAGCGGCTTTGGGTGGTCTTGTCCAATATAGGTGGATGTATCCTTTTGAGAGATACATGTATCATCTGAAAAAGAAATTTAAAAACTAGCACGAATTGCAGGTTTGATAGTTGCAGAATGTTTGAATGAAGAGAAATCTGATGCATCTGCAAATTACATTGGACATCCAGAAGTTAGAGAAGTACATGCAGCTCCTGGAGATATTCAATTTACATATTATTATCCAGACTAGGATATGACCCGCGGTACACCGCGGGTTCAATATTTTTATTATTTGTTACTTATCAGAAAAGAATAATTGGTTGTATTTAATATTGGATGTTGTTTGTGGTGATCGATAATTCCGTAGAATGGTTGTGATTTTGATTGCGTTATAAGTTTTCGATATTAGAAATGTCTAACATGTTTTTCATCGGTTCATATGTGTTACATAATTATTATTTGACTTTTATAGTAATGGTCTAATTGATATTAACAGTATACATTATTAAATTTTGTACTCCTTCACTACTGATCAATTTATTTGATTTTAATTTTTAAAAGTTCGATAATGTATAAACATACAGTTGGTTTCTACAGTAAGACATATATTTGGAATATGTGTACTTAGCTTTTATATGTTAAAGGTAAATTTGTTTACGTTAGTAATATAATTCTCAAATGAATTTTATTTAATTTATAGATATTGGAATATATGACTTATTTAAACTTAGCATATCATTAATTTGAATCAATCTAGATTGTATAATAATTCTTATTACTTTAAAAACAATGTTAATTTTGTCTTTGTAAATATGTCTGTAAAGACAATTTTTAACTGAAATTATGTTTGTTTTGTGGTAAGAATATGATTCTTTTAATTAGTTTGCATCATGTAATCATAGACTTAACAACATAATTAACATGCTAAGTAGAGTATAAGCCCAATTAACAAAACCGCAACCAAATAAGAGGCCTCACAATTAAGACCATGTATCTGATAATCAACAAAGAAAAAAAACATTTAGCAGCCAAAAAATAACGATCGATCAACAGGATTGGTTGTTTCGTTTCCAATCTCGATTAATCATCTGAATTTGAAATCCAAGCTGTTTCAGATCCAATAATCTTCAGATCATAATTGGTGCTAGACGATCAAGGTGATTCAAACCTCCATTGAAATTGGAATCTTTTTTTCCGATCCAATTTCTCTGTTAGTTCTTCTAAATCCAAACTCTTAAATTCGAAAGTGGAGTTCTTATGTAACGATTGTTGATGTCTGTAAACTTAATTTCGTTGAAATAGTAATCGCATGCCATTGAAAGAACTTATTTCCGATTGACCAGCTGATTCTGAAATTAATATATTTAAAGTGTTTGTAATTCAAGTTATTTTCAATGTTTTGAACCTATAAACGTTGATTTACCTAGCAAATGTACTGATTTGCTAACCAATTTATCTGATTTGTATAGGATTGAACATAGAAGCTGATTCATTCTAAAGCTTGGGAAAAGCAATGTTTTACTTAGGTATAGATTTACATATTATTATCCATATGTGCCTAACTTGTTTTACCATGAGGGTCATGTTAGTGGAAAAGCAATGAATAAATTGTAAACAGATGATGACTACACGGCGTTTCAGACGTCTATGTTGCTTAATTGTGACTCATTTGATGCCTATGAAAAGTATTAATTGTTATCATTTTCTGTGGTTACCGACTTACCATATTTAGTTTATGAATTTAAATTATTTTGCTTCCAAAAATGTGTATAGGATGTTTGAAGAGTATATGACGGAGCGCATTCCGGAAATTTCTAGTAAAGATATGCAAATAGTTAAAGACCAACACTTTGCGCCATGGGTTAAAGACTATGGGGGATTAATAAAGTCATAATCGTTTTTCTATTATAAAAAATTTAATAATTAATTGAAAATACTATCTTTGGTATTTAAATGGCAGATTAATTTGCAAATCCATCATTTTATACATATGTTTTTGTTCTTTTCTTTATTTCTTTCTCTTTCACACACATCTATAAATTAATGCACTCCTAGTATATATAACCTATCTTTAACAAATATAAATGTATCTTAAATTCCCAAGTTGAGAACATGAATTATTGAAATTAGTTTCAAAGAGATTATCTAGAAACAAATGTAAAATATGCATGACAAGAACCCAAGCTTTGGAAGAAAATTCTGTGTCTCTTGTAGTCTTGTTTTATGCTAGCTAACTAGATTTTAACCCGCGGTACACCGCGGGATGATTTATTTTTTAAAGTTAGTATATATAAACTTTTATAAATTGTATCTCCTTATAAAATATTTATGTTTTATAGTTTATAATTATTATCAAGTAACGGTATATCACGAGTTCACGGAACAATAATAAACTGAAGATTTAACTCGTATTAAAGCGGTATGTTAATGATATTTTAAAATTTTATAAATATTGATTCAAACTCGTTCGGCATATAAATCCGTTCCGAAATATAACCGTCCCATAATTTCTTAACCCGTCCCGTGATTTGTTTTCTAAAAGTAGTGATTTTAAAATTTAATGATTTTTTATTATATATAAAGTTTATAAATTGTATCATTCTCTAAGACATTTATATTTTAATAAACTAAAGATTTAATCTGTATTAAAGCGACATGTTAATGATATTTTAAAATTTTATAAATGTTGATTCAAACTCGTCCACCATATAACCCGTCCTGTAATTTCTTAACCCGTCCCGTAATTTGTTTTCTAAAAGTAGTAATTTTAAAAAAAATTACGATTATTTATTATAGATAAAAGTTTGTAAATTGTATCATTTTCAAAGACATTTATATTTTATAGTTTACAATTGTAATTAAGTAACATTATACCATGGGACAATTTTTGATTTTATACAATTTTTTCTAAATGAGACTGATTTGATATATCTAATATTGGTGGTATTAAAAAAATTAAGGATTTAATCCGTATTGAAGCGACATGTTAATCTTTTTATTATTGTTGATTCAAAAACCCGTCCCGCCAAACCCGTCCGGCCAAAAAACTCATTTATTTTATTAATGTTGATCTTATTGATGATATGATTCTGAATCATTGTCTAAATATTTTAATTGATGTAGAACGTTGAACACATATTTTCATCAACTGGATAATATATGTCCGTTTTTAAAATTTCGAATCACAGTATATGCAGAAAAAAAAATTGATTTTTTTTTTTGACTTTATGTATTATATGATGATTCAAAACAGTTAAAAACAAATCAAACAAAGATGATAGGAGAATCATAATTCTAAATCTTAATCAAATCTTCTAAATTATTAAATATAGAAATATCCGGTGTATGAGTTGGGTTAAATATAACCCGACCCAAGAATTTTTTTATGACAAAAATTGATTTTATGACAAAGAGAAAGGTTCATCCGTAAAATTGATAAAGGCTAAAGCGTTTTAAGAGGGAAAAAAAAGTAAAATCATAATCTTAATCCCATACACTGAATACAGCAGAGCATGATTAACGGTGGGTCTAACACCATATCTAAAGCCCAAAGAGTCCAAAAAATAAATCAAAAATGAAATAAAACAATGGATCTGGGTCCAATTTTGGATTCTTGATTAGCTTTGGATCTGCCAACGTGTTTCATTGTGGTTGGTTGGGAAATATGTATTTACACCCGATTTTTTTTTTCTCGTTTTCTTTTCGTGAGTTGTTATCTCTCTCTCTCTTTCTTTCATCGACATTTCAGTGAAATCGGAAGCAAACCGAGGAGAACGATCGGCTCCTTTGATTCGCCGTCATCATCATCTCAACGGACGTGGAGCACGATTGGCGCCTTTGATTCAGCAAATCGGTGAATCGGAAGCAAACCCTAATTATGTTTTGTACACGAAACTCATCAAAATCGAAATTTGATCCGTTTCTAATTTCTGCTAGATGATTGTCTTCATCAGTACAAATCTGGGGAAAACGAGAAGCCCTAATCTTTGGTATGTTGCTCTCTTTGATTTCGTAGTTTCTGGGTTTTTGTTTTCCTCTCCGATGTGTCGCGAAATCGCTAATCGAATATCAGATTTCATATTGTTGTGTTGATTGATTCTAGTGTTTTGATTTCAGAAATTTGATTTCTTAATCTCCATGGCTAATAATAGCTCTTTCAAGTTGGAACACCCCCATGGGTAAGTGTTTCGTTTCCTTCTTGATTCTTCATCAATCATGCATAAAAACTAAGAATTTCTTGCAACTCTGTTGTTGTAATCGTTTTATCAATGGAGTTTGGATTTTCAATTGGGTCTTGCTTCAAGGCAGCAAACCCACCTGTTCTAATCTCTGTTATAGACTGCTTATATAATAAAGCTTCAGATTTAATTTTCCTAATCATCAAACTGTTTCAGGAAAAGTATAGTAGCATGACAGGACTGGATGAGAAGACCGAACTTCAAATGCTTGCTTTTAAATCTTCAAAGATTAGACTATTGAGGAGCATGGCTATAGAGAATGAGACAAATTGAATCGTCGGCTATGAGACAATGAGACTGTTGATTTTTTGTATCGTCGGTTTTCTTATTGTCAAGTACAGTTTGTGTTTCAAGTTTTGTAAAACTTTTTGACACATTTTTTCAAACATTTAAACTTTTAGACCTTCCATGTTTGGATCCCATCATTGGACAATGTTTAACAATAAATCTCTTTCAAGTGTCTAAATTGTAAATTTTCCATTATATAAATTATAAAGCTTGTTTGGATCTCTATTTTTGGACTCCATTGTTAATGATGGTCTTAGCGTTCATTTTTGTCATTTTGATGTTAAATTTGGTTTAGCCGGTTCGCTGGTTATACTTGCGGGTTAGCATTTGAGAGGATTTTGCTTTTTACCGGTAACCAAACCGGATAGACATTCGAGTCACAAAAATGAAAAACCTCACAAAACCTCTTTCGTTCCCGTCTCCTCCAGAACCAGTACAACCATGGTCGACGGCGAACTTGAAACCCTTCGCGGTTACGAGCTCCGTCTCCTCCGGTGCACCGTCTCTGTACCAAAATCAGATCCTCCTCTCGAATCCCAGTCCGGAGTTCATCCACACGACTCTCTTATAAGGTCCCTTTTGTCTTCAATCGAGGCTGGAGACTATCTTGGAGCTCTAGCCTCTGACGCTACTAGGCTAATAATCGGAGATTCCGAGTTCGAACTAGTTGATACGGTTGATTCCGCCGAGCGAGTTTACTCCGAGCTTCTCGACAAGGTCGAATCGTTCGTGTTGAACGAATCTTCAGATGAAATCGACAAGGCTCGCCGTGCTGTTCTGGTGATGTGCTTAGCAATCGCAGCTGCTTTTTGGTTCACTCGGTGCAATTTGACCGGGTAAGTTACCGAGTTTAACTCTTCACAATATTGAGAGATTTGGACTCTTTTACTAAGTTCCTGAAGAATTGGATTATGGTTATTTGCAAATTCTCATGAGGCTTTTGTTTGTGTTTTGAACTGCTAGGTCGACAGAAGGATCATTAAAATGTTCGTTACCGTTTAGAGTATCAGAAAGTAAAGAGCTACTTGAATGGGAGAACTGGGCTAAGATTCAGCTCATGTCTGTTGGTTCTGACTTGCTTGGGATGTTTTCTAATCTCCAGGTACTATCATCGTGCTACTGCATTTTTCATCTGCTTATTCAATTTCATTATTTTTCATAAAATCAAGCAGCCTTGTTGTCCCAGTCTTTATTTGTGTTTCGGAAAGTGTTATTTGATGTTTGTTGGACGTTAATCTTTAACAGGAATAAACCAAATGTGCTATGCTTTAGATTTGGTCCACACAAACTTGTTGTTATTGCTTGTCTTTTAGTAGAATGATCTTGATCTTTCCTGCTCTTTGGTCTGCATCAAGATGGCTTTATCCCGGACGGGTCTAAGCTGTGTATTGTAGGCTTCTTAGCATTCGTTTCTGTTTGCTAGTACGTGATTTAACTTATATATGTGTACATTATATATTAGTAGCTATCTGAAGTAGTCCTGATCTGTCTTTTTTTTCCTGCAGCATTTAGTTTTTCCTAGAATGCTTCTGTTAAAGTTGAAAGATTTGTTGTTTGAGACAACTGCAACTGAAACTTTTGAATTAAGGAGTATTTCTTGGTGGCTTGTCAGAGTTTTACTTATTCATCAAAGAGTTCTACACGAGCGATCTTCATCTTTGTTTGAGATGTTGCAAGTTTATATGGCCGAAGCTCTAGACCATTTTGGAGCATTGGAAAAAGTAAAAAGCTACTGGGGTGCCAAGTTGCTAGAAGACGAAGCTCCATCCATCACGTCAACCATCTATCTGGAAGCATGTGTACTGCAATATATATATGGAAGGATTGATCCTTCTCGGTAAGTTACCATTGAGACTTGCATGTTTATAGCTTTTCGTCCTAGGATATTGACCATATTACTTTGGTTTCGCCTTATGGTTCCCTTTTTAAGAAAATAAGGAGAGGTTTGCGACTCATATAGTTACGAAATTGAGCTTGTATAGCACATATGTATATAGTTGTTGCTACTCTCATTTCTGATAGCTATCACATACCATTCCATGACCTTTTATCTACTCTTCTGCTTTAGTATATTGGTCTTGAATCGGAGTAAAATTGTCAGGTTACAGCTTGAATCTGCTAAAGCAGCAGCAGGGCTCGAGTTCTCTGTTACTGGGGCTCTTGGATTTCGTACTATTCACCAAGTAAGATATGAGATTTTTTTTCTGTTATATATATTCGGCTATATTATTCTAAATTCCTCTGATCTTGCTATAGGTAGATCCAAAGGCACAGATGGTATTGGTAGCCAATACTAGCTCATCCAATGGGGATGTGAGGTTGGCCTCTGAGAAAGCTGATGTTGGACCTTATGAAGCTTGGGGAGGTGAAGCACCTGAAGTATATATGACTCCCAAACTAGTAAACAACGAGAGTGAAGCTGACAAAGACTCTGTGCCCTTAAAACCAGTTGAACAGGCATTGATTTTGGCTCAGTGCCTTTTAATTGAAAGGGGTAGTAGGCACGATGAGATGCAAAGTACGTGAACTCAATTTCAAGTGTATTTCTAGTGTTTAAAATTTTAAAATTTTAATGGTCCAAGAGCTTACGTGCAAAGATAGAGAGAAGAATATTAACAATTCTGCCTAGACAATTAAGTTACTACGCATTAGTTGTAACTGCAACTCAAAAAGCTTGAAGAGTCTCATTATGGTGTTGAGATTGTGAAGGAGAAGATGCAAATTTCTGCTCTTGCTTCTTTGTCGACTAGTTTTACTCACTTGTGCTGAACTGAATTAAACCATGTCCTGTATTTTTATTTATATATTCTAATACATTTTTTCCTGCAGGATGGGATATGGCTCCATATATTGAGGCAATTGATTCTCAAAAGTCAACATATTTTGTTGAAAGTTTCAATTTTTTCAGTTAATTAATTCTTACAAAGTGACTGATTTTAATTGTTGATGTATGGAGCTGTTGGTTTTTCATTTCTTCACAACCTATGCAAGTAAAAGAATCTGACTGATTTTTCTTCTTCGGACATGGGATTAGCTACGGTGTTTTTGTGATTTATTACGTGTTCGATGGGAATCAACTAGAGGTCGTACAAAGGGACGCACCCTGGAGATGATGGATAAATTGGTATGTGTGAAAAGCGCTCGTATTATCAACATTCTTTGGTTTTCTTTTTGGTTGTATATCTCGACTGAAACACTCATTTTGTAGCGTTATTTCATTCCGTCCTTAAGTGTAGCTGTGATATTTTCCCTTGATCAGGTTGGAGCTATTAACAAGAGCGATCCTGGAGTATCAAACCGTATCCCTTTATGCTATGCAGTCCATCTTCCTACTATTCCTGCTTTGAGAAAGTAGGATATTCTCTTTATGTGCATGTATAGATATCCTTTTCGGGTTTTTCTGCGGTCTTACTCATCATTCCATTTTGATTTTAACAACAGGGAATATGGTGAGCTTCTGGTGAGTTGCGGTTTGGTTGGGGAAGCAATCACAATATTTGAGAGCCTGGAACTGTGGGATAATCTAATCTACTGCTACTGGTAAAATAAAAATTTGAATACTGCGTTTGTGATGAATTCAGCTTCGCTTTTTTTGTTCCCTTTCTTTCTATGGCTTTTATCTTCTGTTGCAAACTTATTACGGGACTTGAATTTCAGCCTTCTGGGAAAGAAATCAGCAGCTGTCGATCTCATCAATGCACGGCTTCTTGAACGGCCAAATGACCCAAGATTATGGTAATCTGTTCTTTGATACCCTTAGTCTATTCTTTTCTTGTTGTTTGTATATCTTAATTAATAAAGACTGTGAAGTACCATAATTATCTGCTTTGAACGTATGCTTAATCATTTTATGTGCAGATATTTCTTTAATCTTTGTATATACGAGAAAGTTATTATCGTATCGGATCATTAAATTAAGTTTGATGATAAATATTGGTTTCAGGTGTTCACTGGGTGATGTTACTATTAATGATTCCTGTTATGAAAAAGCCCTGGAAGTTTCAAATGATAAGTCAGTTCGTGCTAAGGTAGTTTGAGACACCAAACAGAGAAATCTTTTATGTCCTCTCTTAGTCCATGCTCTAATTATCTTCATCTTGCAGCGGGCTCTTGCTCGCATCGCATACAATCGCGGTGATTTTGAGAAGTCGAAGATGCTGTGGTATGTTGACCAATTTGGTTCTGTCTTTTTTTTTCCTGAACGGAAATGGATTATGAACTTGGCCCTTCAGGCTGATTTACTTGTGAGATGTCTCATTTTTTTCTCGTACTTTAGGGAGGCTGCAATGGCCTTAAATTCTCTGTACCCAGATGGTTGGTTTGCTCTTGGTGCTGCTGCGTTGAAGGTATCTTACTTCATCTTCTCCAATAGTTCAGTAGCAATATGTTTCCATTCCAAAAGTCATTAGATAAAAACATTGGAATTATTGTCATGCTGGCTTAGAGGTATACTAATTTAACATCTCCTACATGATACCATAGGCCAGGGATGTCCAGAAAGCACTGGATGCATTCACTTTTGCTGTTCAACTTGATCCCGACAATGGGGAGGCTTGGAACAACATTGCTTGTCTGTAAGCATTTCAGTTTCACTATTCTGCTCTGTTTGTGCTGAAATTGCTGAGAAAATTAATTGTTTTCTTCACGCATACCTTACTGTTTAACTTCATGAGGCTCACCTACTTTATGTTTCACATTTGTAATGGATGATGCTGAATGTGTAAAAATAATCTGTGAGTGCAGGCATATGATAAAGAAAAAGAGCAAAGAATCATTCATTGCGTTCAAAGAAGCGTTGAAATTCAAGTATCTTTCTATCCTTTACGGTTTGTTACGTGAGCTAAGAAAATCAGAGTTAGTAACTGAAAAACATTGTGTTTCAACAGGCGAGATAGCTGGCAGATGTGGGAGAATTTCAGTCATGTAGCTATGGATGTGGGAAATATTGATCAGGTATATGCAGCTATTAATTAAAAATTAAATATTTTTCTACTCTTGTCTAAAAACCTCAGCTCTCAGTTCCCAGTATATTTGTTTTATTTTAGCTTAGGAGTTAAACAAATTGGTTTCACCTCTGTGTTTTTTCTCTTCCAGGCTTTTGAAGCTATACAACAGATACTGAAAATGAGCAAAAACAAGAGGGTTGATGTTGTTTTATTGGACCGTATAATGACAGAGTTAGAAAATAGGAATTCAGCTTGTAAGTCATCATCTTCATCGATTGAAACCGAAACTTCTTCAGATGAATCAGCAGAAACAAAACTATGTACTGCAACACCAGCTGAAACTCAACGCCAGCTAGAGTTACTTGGGAAAGTTATTCAGCAGGTTAGCAAAACAATTCAACTAGTATGTATTTCTGTATTGTCTCATTCTCTGAGTGATAACTCTTGACGGATGCATTTGATATAGCTTTGTATAGTCCTTTATGTGATTCCTTCTTGTGATAATCTCTTTTATAGATTGTCAAAACAGAAAGTACATCTGAAATCTGGGGATTATATGCAAGATGGAGCAAAATCAAAGGAGATCTTATGGTAGGCAGCGAGGCACTCTTAAAGCAAGTGCGATCATATCAGGTATATAATATTAATTGATGATTTACTGAAGCCACTCATTTTATCTATGAGCAGCATTTGATGACATATCGATGATATCTCTGTCAGGGATCAGAAGTTTGGAAAGACAAAGAGCGTTTCAAGAAATTTGCAAGAGCATCATTGGAACTTTGTAGAGTGTACATGGAGATCTCAGTGTCCACAGGAAGCAAACAAGAACTGTTTAGTGCTGAGATGCATTTGAAGAACACAATCAAACAAGTAATAACCCAAACTTATCATTTATTAATCCCCACAATACTTACTAAGCTTTTTGATCAAAGTGAATAAATGGCTGACATATGCTGTATATGTGTAGGCTACAGTGAGCTTCTTGGATTCTGAAGAATTGAAGGAACTTGAAAGTTGCCTTGAGGAGGTGAGAAATGTAATGCAGAAGAGTGATGAAGCGACTAGAAATACAAAAACATGAAAGAAGAAAAGACTTGTCACTGTCATCATAGGTTAGCATCTGGTTTCTGGGAGTTGTAAAATTAATCATTTTTGTTACTTGGGTTAAAGGCATTGTTGAGATGATAACTTAATGGTTATTTTTTGCGGTTATATACGAGTTTTCAGGTTACATATTTCTGAAATTCCTTTGGGGATGCAGATTGCAGAAGCAGATGATAACTTAATGGTTCTTTTATTTTTTGCGGTCCTTAGTGTAAAACAGATGTTCAGAATCTCAAACTTTTGATCTGTGCGTATGTTTATGTGTCTTCATCCTCGTATCTCCATCGACACATTACCGAATCCTGATGTGCTTCTGTGCAGGAGATTTGGATTATCGCAACATCTCCCTCTCTAACGATCTTTCGCTTAGTCTTCCGAGGTTGAAAATCTTGTAAAAACTTCGACCGAGGAGACAGATAAGAAGGATGAAGAGAGGACAGATGCTAAAAAGGAGGAAGAGGTTTCGCTTCCGGAGAAACCAGAGCCTGGTGATTGTTGTGGCAGTGACTGCGTCCATAATGCGATTGGGATGTCTATTACGAGGAGCTCGAAGAATACAATAACAAGCTTTCTAAAGAAATTAAATCCACTAGATGAGTACACGCGCTACGTGCGGTTTTGTTTAGAAATTTCACACCTGTTAACCTATTTTTTTCTGTGCACATATTTGGTTTGAATTTTTTTTTTTTGCGCAAATGTTTTAAATTGAAATTTACATAGGCGTTAGTTTTCGTTTTCATATTGTAAAGAACATTGATGTCTTCTATATTTCTTGTACCTTTTGTTCGTTTGCATAGTCGTGATCATTTTTTCCAACAACTGAACTCCTTTTATTTGTATAGATTCTTTTCTGCTCCTTATGTAATATTAGTAATTCAATGAAAATGTACAACAGGTTTTAATCGATAAAAGGAAAAAAATGTCTAAGCGGTTCTAAATCTAATCCATGAGCTTTTACGACCTAAGTGGGAGATTACAAAATAACTATGTAACCTAAGATCAAAGAGGTAAAAAAAAAAACAAAAAACAAAATCGAAGAACATCCCATTGACTCTATGAGGTTAAAGTACAAAAGAACAGCTCTTATAGAGCGTATGGTACTGGTAAGCCAAAGAATTCCTGATTCACATTTTTTGATAAATATTACTCCCCCTTAATCATGGATGTGTTCTTTTTCTGGAAGTTCTTGCTCCGTGCTCCTCATAGAGGTAACTGTGTAATTGTTATGAACTGATGATTTCATTGATAATGAGATACACATATTTATACAAGGAGAGGTCTAGAAGCTCAACAGACAAGAACCTCAAGAGACAAAGCACATACATGAATAGAACTCAAGAGACATAGAAGATTCATGAATGTAATTAGAGTTGATCATTTACGATACCAATAGTAACAACCTCTTCCCAAGGATATCTCTCCCAATAAATTCAAGTTTGTGCTAGCAACTTCTCCTTTTCCAGTTCTCTGTGTAAACAGAGCAACTAAGAGATTTTCCTTTTAAGAACACATCTTGTACGGTTCAGCTCAAAAGTATACATTGACCATGAATTTGTTAACAAAATGCATCACAATTTTTCTTATTTATTTATAATGATATGCTGTTACAGAAAAGGAGAGAAAGGATAGACCCTACTACCAGATTTCAAATAGAGAAGCCCACGTCTTGTCTATATATGCCTCGACCCTTACGGCAGCATTGGTCTTCGAGGTGGCAGCTTTATAGCGTTTCATCTTCCTTTACCATCACAACCTCTTCTTCTCTGCTAGAGATGACACTAATCAAGGTAATAACAAGTGATTACAATCTATTAGTTAAAGAAACAATGGCTTGCACTTAGACCTTTCTTTTTCCCTCAAATCACTATGTTGTCATACTTAGACGTACATAAGCATTTTCTAGTGAAACAGATAAGCAATGAAAACCACAAGCATATAACCAAATGCATACCATAAAATCAGAATGGCATTACATACAATAAAATAAGTTATAGTAAGAAAGACAATACAAAACTTACACCGAATTATACCCAAACACTCCATCATTTGGTAGTAAGCTCTACCATGTAAAGGAGTGCCCTTTTCCATGATTCGGAGAAAGAATATTCTGTCCTGAATGAAAGACCATAAAAAATGATGACTTCAAAGGTAAACATGCATAGTGGTCTAGTAGATCAATAGAAAATTATAGTAGAGAAGACTTTAACCCACTATTTGTCATACGGGTCCATTAATTGTGGAACCAAAGATATCAACTGAACCACACATCCAAAAAGCAAACTCAAGAGCCTTCATCAGGCCAATTCTTTACGCATCCGGGCCACTGAGTTTCACTCACAACTGAGCCACTGAGTTTAACACACAAAACTGTAATAAGCGAATAGAAATTTAAAATGAAATAATATATTCACCTAAACAATGAAAAGTTACCAATTTAGAAACTCAAAACTCATTGTTTCTCTATGGAGAATTAATTAAGGGAGTTAGAGACAGAATCATTGGGAAAAGACTCGCTGTTTTTCATTTGGGAAACAACCACACCATTCTGGTTTGACCATTCTTTCACATCAATGCTTGTCAAACATACACTCCGCAATCAGTAATATTTGATCGTTGCTTCTGTATCCAGCTGAACGTCTTGAGAAGAATCAAGGTAAGTTAAAACAGAAGGCAACATGCCTCATCCAAGAAACCTATCAGATAAGTCTAATGTTTTACTAATGCCAGAGGGTAGTCAGGCCGCCTGCATTTCTGACTACCAGGTAAACCAATTGGGTCAAGGCCCAACTGACAGACTTCCCAAACAAATGTGTTTTTGTTTGCAGGGAGAATCGAACTCGGGTCTGGGAGTTTCACCCTTCACCAAAGCTTCCTCTGCCACTAGACCACAGAGGCTTGGGCAGTGTTGTGGCCCAATTCTACCTGGATCGGGAGAAGTCCACTCTGTAGCACCTCGGTGCGTTCCTACCGAGGCCAACCGGATCAGCCGATAGGGTTTATCAAAAAAAAAAGTCTAATTTTTTGAAAGACCAAATAACCCAAACCTAGTTTCTAAAATACTTAGCATATTCCCCCAAAATTCTTAAATATATGTAGAAACGAGCTTAGAAGTGAAAAAAATATAAACCTGGATGCATGGTACATGTTTTTCATTGTAAGATTAATCATCACAATACATGACTTTATCATAATCCACTCTGTTAAAAAACCTAGAAGATTAAACGCCAAATTTGGGATATCCATAATAAAAAATTCAGAAATAAAAGCAGGGGATAACATACAAAAGAGTAGAAGCAAAACCTCAAGACATAGCAGGTAATTATCGCGCTTCTGTAGCTCCTGGAGAATAGGAAAGTAGTTCTCCATCATTGATCGTAGAGATTGTAACACCCGTCCCGCCTTATAGGCGAAGACAACGTGTTATTCATCTGGTCCCGCCAAAACACTTATTTCTTTAAACATTCAAAACTTGTTCCACGTCTCATAAAGCTTATTAACCTGAGAGAAAAGATATAAGGGTGAACACAATGGTGAAATTCTAATCACACTTAACAATCAGTGCATAGCATAGAATCAGACTCCACATTCTCAAACATACGTTTAACAACATAATATTTTCATACAATATCCAGCCATATACAAATCAACAATAACGCTAAACCGAAATCCCATCGGCTTAGCATGGCACGAAACCAATCCCAAGCTCGACCAATCGCCAGGCACGAAACCAATCTCAGGTTCGTCCAATTACCAGGTACGAAACCAAACTCAGGTTCGCCCATCACGAGACACGAAACCAATCCCAGGTTCGTGCCCCCATCACATCAACTCATATCATATCATCATACATCATCATTTTATATATAAAGTATACATATCATACATCAACTCCTCCTACCATGTCACACAATATCAATGAACGTCCTTGTTCAAGAAATTCCCATTAGAAGCAGTATCCAGCAACATTCTGATCTTGGGCAAAGCTCCTTTGTAGAGTGTACTGAGTAAAGAAGCTTTCTTGAAACCATGATGTGGACACTGTGTAGTGTAGCCCTTGAATCTCTCCCAGGCCTCACAAAAGGATTCAGACTGTTTCTGTGTGAAACTTGAGATTTCATTCCTGAGCCTTGTAGTTCTTGAATTTGAGAAGAACTTTGCTAAGAAGGCCTTCTTGCAATCGTCCCAAGATGTGATGGAGTCTGGAGGTAGTGTCTTCTCCCACTGATGTGCTTTGTCTCCTAGAGAGAAGGGAAACCGACGTAGCTTGAAACCGTCCTCACTTACGCCGTTTATCTTGGTTAGGCTGCAGAGCCTGTCAAAGTTATCCAAGTGATCTAAGGGATCCTCCATAGGCAGCCCATGAAACTTATTCCCTTGTATCATTGAAATCAATCCACTCTTGATTTCGAAATTATTGTTCTGGACAGGTGGTGGAACGATGCCATGTCTCTGTTGGTGGTTTCTAGGTGCATCTCCAGCACCAATATTCCTTGGTATCCCAACTCCCTGATTGTCTTGATCTTGTTGTTCCATAGAAACAAGATTGTGTTGTTCACAACCGTCTCTGTCTCTACGCTCTCTCAACTCACGAGCTAAACGATTGATGTTGTCTCTCTAGCTGATGAGATTGTCAGAGCCTTTAGAACGAGTTTGCATGCACGTGTAGAGTATGTACTCGAGCTAGTGCCTGGAACACAAAAACAAGCAGTTGAAGAGAGAAGTTAGTAACCAAAGTAAAAGAAAGAACTTGATCTTAGCAATTCTAAAATCTTGAATGTAACAAGCAGACATCCAAATGGCAACGGCGCCAAATTGATACTAGGTTTTTACTATCAATTACCCTAATATACTCTCATGTCATTGCAGTATAATAGGTTATCAATCCAATCAGGTGCTCTTACTATCAATCAATATATGCTCAGAGATAACTAAGTCAAGCCAGGTGAATATTGCTTTGGTTATCTAGCAATCCTAAGTGATCATGCATAAAAACGATAAAACTACAGAACATGAATGATCATGCATAAAGAGAAAGAACTATCAATACTAAGCAGCA